ATTGATTTCTTCGTCTGTATTATTGATTGATTATTTATGATTGAACCGAAATATTTCTATTTTTGTTTTCCGTTCATTGTGAGAATGGGATTAATGTTTGGGTGTTTATTTATTAGCGTGAATTGAGTTTTTTCAGTATCAATAGTGAGTCTTACGTCTTCACGTTCTTGAATGATTCGCTCTAACACGGTTCTGCGTTCTCAGCCATTATGACAGTTTCATCTAAGAATCTCAGATTGTCTATTAATGTTCCTTCAATCTTCACTCCAACATATCTCTCCTCCAACGCGTTTAGGAACATAAACTAAGAATACAGGTTGAACAGTTCTCTGGGGATGGAGCCCAGTTCTGGTGAACTCCTTTTTGAATTTGTACCGCCTCCGTTTCCATGTCCTCAACACGTACTACTGCTGTTTGGTTATATTACATGTTTGGTTATATTACATTGTTTTGATTTAAGTTGATGCTTTTTAAATTCTCTCTGAGTTTATCATGTTGGACTTCATCAAATATCTCTTGAAAGTCAATGAACCAGACGTATACACTTTTGGTGTATGCTCTACGCGTCTGTTATAGTATTACCTCTCTAGTTCTTAATCATTCTCTAAAGCAAAGTGCGTCTCATCAAGTTGTCTTTAAGATTTTTGTTGTATTTTCTGTTGTATTATTTTCTTAGAGTACTTTTAACGTGGGTCTCATCAGGCTGACTATCCAATTTCATTACAGGACTTAGGATTGTTCTTTTTAGGTAAGGAAGTAAGTCAATCTTTTAGAATTTCTCCTGTTTCATTGAAAATTTTTGTAAGACGGGTTATGTCTCCCTCTCATTCCCATCATCTAGTTCAAAACTGCCAGCAATATTTTCAAGCCTGTCTTTGCCAACCTTGGCGTCGAAATGTTCTATAATTATATTAATTATAAGTTCGTGCTTCTTCAATTTTCTGGTTAGCGTATCTAAGTTTGAGTAGAATTTCTCAGTAGTTTCTTCATCGCTCTCTATTGTCCAAGCACATACTGCATAAAATTGGTATTTATCAATCTCTCATTACAGGGCATCAAATCAGAGACATGGTGCTGCAGTTCCTTTTTGATCAATAATACTCACACCATGTTTATGTTCCCCATCATGGCATCAATAATAGTAAAGTATTTACAGTATCTTACATTTGACCATCTAACTTTACTGACTCCAAGAACTTCTTTGCAAATTCTGCGCATCTCCAGAGCAAGGTTCTCTAAGGTTCCACGTTGCAATTCAACTTAAGGCCTTATTCTTCTTTCCCCTCCCGGGGATTTTCGCATCCCTGTTCCATTAAAGGGACGCAGGGGACCCGGGGTCAAATCAAGCCTTTGGGTACATTACTTATTGCTAGCCTTGGTTTAATAATGATATAACTTCTATATTATGACATCCGTCTATATGATCCCTAAAAGGAGGGCTTCCACGTGCGCTGAGTTGGCAGTTCCGAAGTCCATCTTGTCCGACAATTTCGTCTTCGCTCGTATCCCTGGACATAGGGGAAGTAATATACCCCGCTATACTGGGTCTTCAATGGAATTTAGCCACCAGCTCGAAAGCAGGATTCTCCTCCGCGACATGGATGCTCCTGTTGAGAGTTACCTAAGTGTGCTCAGAAAAGATGACTCAGATCATCTTCTGCTGGGTTAATGCACCTGTATGAGTCCACACGCAAAGACTCTAAATACTAAAACTAAAATTATAAAACAAACCATAATCTGTGGATGTTTATTTAAATTTCTGCTCGGCTTGGTATTTTTTATAAATTCACATAAGTAATAAAATGAAAAGATTATCAGCTAGAAACAGTTATCAGTCTATTCTTTAATTTATGAAGAAGTTACCATACAATAAACTTAATTAAGGATATCATAATAAATAATTGATATTTCTTTCAGGTATATTCGATGACTTAGTATGAAATGGCAGCAACAAGAACAACAATAACATCGAGAGTAATAATAAGAACAAGCGAAAGTGAAGATGAAAACAAACGCTTCGTTACACGTTCCATGACCGACTGGGATCTTACGTTTCGCGGACGCCGCGTCCGTCGCGGACTTGTTCTCTTATCGGCGCTTTTTCATTGTTAACAGCGTTTAACCGCTGCGTTTGTCGTCGTTATTTCAGTTTACTCGCGGATCTTGTTGCATTCGGGCCGCGTTCCTTCTCTCTATCGCTCTGTCTGTCACCCACGCACGACAAATCGACTATCTTACGGTACGCGACTTCTACCTGACGATATTAATTTTATTATTACGATAAAGTTTGGTGCAAATACATTTTTTTTATATCTACCTGTCATTTATTTAATTGAGACAACAATAATAATTATGATTTCGCGTAAATTTTGTTGTCGCTTTTGAAAAATCGTATTAGGTATTTGCGGTTCGGACGACTGTGGAAAGTTTGTTGTTAAATTAAAATATATTTACTGTAAAACCCAAGTTCGTGTTAAAAAAAAAAAAATGTCGGGCGTTGTGCTGGAAGCTAGGCCCTTTAGGCCCTTTAAATCGAGTGAAGAATATTTGTACGCAATGAAAGAAGATTTGGCGGAATGGTTCCAGACTTTATATCCTCATCTTCGTATAAATGTTGACAACTTCATGGACCGGCTGGAGACGGGAGTCGCGTTGTGTGAGGTAAGGGTCACGATAGCAGATAGCACATCATCATTTCTCACTTGTGATTATTTTATATGTATATTCCTTATAAGTCGACATTTTATCCTTTTCTATGAAAGTTTTCTACGAAATTAAAAAAAAAATAGATCTTTTAAAATTAATGTGAAAATTTATTTAATTTTTATCCACTACAAATTACCTCAAATTAATGAGAAAAATTGTATGAGCGAATAAATATGATTTTAATAAAATAACCTTTTGTATGCATTCGTACCTAAATTTTAACGGAAAATAGTTATTGTCGAGAAATACGTTTTAGTACCATAAAAATTAAGAAATTTACAGGAAAAACCAGGATATTACCGTTTGAAAATTCATTTAGAGTACGAAAAAGTGTGGTACCAGTATTTGTAGTATTTGTAGTTGATTGTACCAATTTGAATATGTTTGGATTTTCTTTGAACAATATTCCCATATTGTTAGCAATTGAAGGCATTAATTTATTTT